GCTTGGCCAATGAGGAACAGCTTGGAGGGAACATGGGGAACGACTTGGGATCATGACATTAGCCATAGCTGCCTGATGCCAGTCTCCATGGGAAGGCAAGGACCCTTCAGATTGGTCTAGATTTGGGGTGTTACTGCCTCAACACCTATACCGTAACAGTTAACATTAAGAATTATGTAGACAAAGTATATGCATGTTGTGAAAAGAACAGCATCTTGACAATTAAAGAAATTGGGGGAACAGTGAAGGATGCCATGAAGGAAGCGCATATTTTGGCCCAACTTAAAGTAGGAGGAGGAGGAGAGGGTGGGGGAAAGAAAAACAGGCCCTTCTCAGCAGTGAAGCAGAGAGAAGTATTATCACATTGTCAAAGAATCTTTTGATCTTGGAAGGATGCAGCCTCCAGAACGTAACCATATTTGACTGAACCCCCAAAGAAATCTTTTGTTTTAATTGCTAATTCGCGAGATGGGAGAGTTGCATCTGCTGAAAACGGAGAGGGACCACACACGGGCCCATTTGTTACCTGGAAGACTTCATAGTGGCATTCCCAACTCAGTGGGAAGGCACTGGGACTCACACACCGTCTGCTGTCTAATTGTCTTTTGGCTCAATTTGGTGCATGCAAATAGGACTGGGCTGCAAAAGATGGTTCAGGAAACCCTAACAGGATATCAAATACCAGGCAATGCAGAGCAGATGGTAAAATAATTTTCTAAAGCAATCTTCAGGAAGTTTACAGTAGACTAAGGAATGGGAAAATAGCAGGTGGGTAAAAACAGAACTGTAACAGGTTATGAATTGTCAATTATAGAGAGAGCGGGAGACAGAGCGGGAGACAGAGAGGAGTTGGGGGGGATTGACTTTGATGACGAATGGATAGGAAAAATCAACAGGAAGAAGGATGACAAGAGACACATAGCCACAGTCCAAGGTGACAACATTTATCAGGACAGATAGTAGTGCAGGATAGTTTTCAGTTGGAGTTGGGTTTGGTTGATAAATGCATGCTCATCACTTGATGACTGCCACATCAAGCAATGACTTATATGCGCAAACGTCTCCTTTCAGAAATAGCACCACAGAGGGCACTTTAGTAACTCCTCACATCTCCTCAAACACAATTCTTTCCAATGGAACCGGAGGGCACATTTTCAACTTACTAATCATCTTCTTGGATAAAAGCCTCTTCAATTGCTCTTTAGCGCTCTCTGTTGTTTGCTCACTACATCCACACAAGCTCTGCTGTTAGTTTTAGATTTTAGATAATCAGCTGTATCATAATCAAGGGTAGAGAAACCCTGCCTTTGACACCTAAGATACATGCTTGCAGGCCCCATCCTATTCCCATGACTGTTATTTGTTTTATTAAAAGCAGTTTAATATAGACTTTAAAATGCTTGTAACCTGCTCTCAGACCTTATGGTGAAGGACAGGAAAGAAAACGAATTCATCATCATGTGGCACAGGCTTTTCAGTGCCACCAACCTCATATAATTCAGCGTAAGGGCTGTTTCAAGTTGTTTGCCTTCCTCATAGAAATTGTCACAACTTTGATGGGGGGAAAAGCATTGGGTTGAATCCATAGTCTAAAGCTGGGGGTGGGTGGATAAAACTCAGGGTACCCTGGTAAAGGGGCCCAAGGTAGAGTTCTGTCTGAAAGCCCAGAGGGACATGATGGGCCATAGAACACCCCTGAAAAGTCTCCTGGTGGGATTTCCCCATTAGTTGTGCATCAATGGGGGTGAGTGTGCCCTTTCGCCAGGATTGACCCTGATGGAAATATTAACCAGCAATTGGGTTGACTGATTCAGGATACATGCCGAATGCCTATGCCAAATCTGGCTTACATCTGTAATCAATAAAATTGTGACCATTTTGATCCCATGCTGGGTCTCATCTATTTCTTACTGAATGCACACTGTCCATCAGGACAATTTTAATGTGTTGTGTTGTGTGGTTGTTGTTGTTGTTGTTGCGTTTCTGTATATTATGTTGGAAGATGCCCAGAGCGGCAGCCCAGTCAGATAGACAGGGTACAAAAAATATTACTCTTCCTCCTCCTCCTCTTCTACTTCTTCTTCTTCCCCTTCCTCGGTAACTACTGGCTAGCTGTGCTGTGGCCTACAATGGCGGTGGTGTTTGTGGTGAAACAAGAATGCTATTAAAGTGAGTTAAAGAGGAATATTGGCAAACTGGAATGTTATCCAGAGGAAGGCAACTGGGGTGGTGAGGGTGGAAACCAAGGCCTAGAAGGAACTGTTGAAAGGTCTGGGTATATATTTAACCTGGAAAAGAGAAGTTAACAGGAGACATGGCAGCTGCCTTCAAATATCTGAAGAGCTGTAATGCAGAAGATAGAGAGGACTTGTTCTCTTTTGCTTTGGAGGCAGTGCCAGATTTACGCACAAGGTAAGTTTAGAGCCTCAGATTTTGAGGAGTCTCCACATAAAAGAACTTATTAAGTTTCCAGTGTTTACACAATTGGCAAATAAAGGAAATGGGGAAAAACTTGTTCGAAAACAGACATTATTATGATATGGCAAAAATACAGTTAATGGTTGCACAATTATTTATTGTATTGTGTTTATAAATCTGTGCAGGAAAACTGATAATATAACTTTCATATATGCTAAGTAAGAAATCAATATATTTTTATTTAAATGTTTCATGTGCAAATAAGCTTATTGCAAGGTATACATTTTAATAGTTTCCTGTTGCCTATGTACCAGTACACATGTAAATATAACACTTCAGTTTTTTCTATTTTCATTGCCTGTTCTGTTGGAACAATACACTTTTGACAGGGGGGTGAGGTGGGGGTGCAATGCTATGGGACCTCATAAGCTTTGACATAGTTTAGGGCCTCAGCATGTCTTAATCTGATCCTGTTCAGAGGGCACGACTAGAACTAATGAGTGGGAATTACAAGGAAGCAGATTTTGGATAACATTACAGGACACTTCCTAACAGTAGGAGTGTCGTTGACAGTGGAACAGGCTGCCGTGGGAGGCAGAGAGTGTGTTGTCTTCTGCAGCTTATTTAGAAACCTGTGAAAAGCTGAGTGAAGGGTATTTCTGAAGAGGCCTGGGAACTGCACAGAGTAATAATTCGCTTCTTTAGCCAGGCCACTACACTGAGACAGCTCTCTTGGAGCCGAACTCCTCCTACATCATAGCCATTTCTCTGAAAGGTCACACATGCCAGATATTTAATAGGTGATGCATACATTACAGTGAGCTGGTCATACTTAAGCAGAACCTGCGCATCATCTGCCATGGATACTGTAGTTGCACGCTGCATTGTGAATCCTCACTCAGCAGGGGGGGGGCAGGGTTTGACTACATGACCCTCGAGGTCCTTGCCAGTTCTAAAACCTTATATTGTAAATGCTGTTCAAAGCATAGTATGGCGTTTGTGAGAGTAACTACACACATATGCTGAAATTGGGCTAGCTGGCCCTAGTTGGAAGATGTTGCTGAGACTGGCGTCTGGCCCCTGCTTCCCTCTCTAGCCCTCTGCCTCTGGACTCCTCCCAAGCAGATGTAAACTACGGTGAGGAGGAGGGACCCCATCCACTGCTCAGCAGTGTGCAAGGCTCCTCACCATTTGGGTGTCGGTGGAAAAGGAGAGCTCGCTGTAGAAGGGCTGGCAGCTGCTGTGAAAGTGAGGCAAATGGCTCCTCTCTGTCAGAGTCTGCGCTCAAACTGAGACCCTAGGCTCTTAGCTGAGTGCTTGAACAGCTTCCTTCTTCTACCTCCCCGTGTTCACTCAAGCCTCCTGCTTCTTCCACCTCCCAGCTGGTCCCCTCCTCAGATCTGTCCTCAGTGTTCCACCACCACTGTCCTGGGTCTAAGTCTTCTTCCTCTGTGTCATCCCTGGGGAGGTCTTGGACTGGTGTCTCCCGACACTCTTCATCATGCAGCCAGTCCCTGATACCCTGGGAAGTAGGTTATCCTATTTATCTCTCTTATGGATCATGCCCAATGCATCCCACATCTGTAATGACAAGTTAGGTCAAATATCAAATAATTGAAACATAAATGCATGAGAAGTTGCTACGAGGAAAGAACACATGCACCCCACAAAGCTCCAGTTCCTTGTGCTGTGGAACTGATTGTTAAATCGCTCTGTAAACTGTAACTCTGAGGGGAATGTAGGGGTCTCCAAACAATTTTCAGCACACTTAGCAAACTATAGCTCCCAGAATTCCTTAGGGGAAACCCCGATTGTTTAAAGTGCTTTGAATGTATGGTGTGAATGTGGTCATTGTCTCCAACAGCCGGTTCTGGCAACCTGACATATCACTTTCAGAACCCCTGTGACCCACTTTGAAGAATATTTCAGTGGGGCTTCCAAGATATGTAAGGAATTATATAAGTATGAGATACACTCAGTGTGAGAGCCAAATCTTTGGGTGGTTCACTCACTACAAGCTCCAGAATCCTTGGAATAATATCTGAATGCTACTGATTCACACAGTATGTAGCGTAATGTAATCAATACAAGATGCTGCATATAAATAAACTGTTTAGATTCTCGCACATTTTAAGATTAGAGAGGGCATCTTTCCCAGCAGTATTCCCCCTCCCTCAGAGTTCACACCTTTTAAGGGGAAATGGTTGCAAAGTATTAATTTAAGCCAATAGTGAAAGCTTATGTTATTCGTTTTTTCAGTGATATACATAGTGCTCTTTTTGTATACTATTAACTATGGGCATATGTTTTTCATTTGACTATGCTACTTACGCACTAGATTCTTTTCTCTTTTCTGACAAAAAAATGTAAGATATAACAGCTGCCGCAAAAATATTTTTAGATCACTGAAACTATTAACAAGAGCTGCATGAATCTGGTGGACAATGACAAGTCTGATCAGTTTTCCACAGCCACAGTTTGGGAGACAGAGGGAAATCCCAAGAATATATTGTTGTATCTTTGCAGCCAGTTACTAGTTTTTCAGCTTCAGTGTCAACACTCTTGGAATCTGTTTCTTGAAGGTATTGACGTTTTGACAACCCTGCATTAATAAATTCAGATGCATTTGCGCTGAGAGAGGTCAGATTCCCATTGATGCCCTAGACTCTCATATGAACCTGGAAGAAGACACTATGATCATCGATAAAAGAAAGTGTCACTTTGAAGAAATGGCCAACTTCAGAAAGATGGTTGTGAAAGTGAAGAACTCATTTCTGCAACAATGGACATACTTTGGATTATTTTTCATGGGTGATGTGACAACTGCAGTGTAAGTGGCTTGAGGGTGTCAAACTGTTTGCTGGATTTGATTTATTATTCCTGCCCATATTCTGTTCTTCCTTGGAGAAACAGGGACAGGGAAGTGTGCAGAGGAGGCCCACATTTTATCCATACAACAACTTTATGGGATATGTTAGGCTAAGACAGGGATATGGAACCTGTGGCCCTCCAGATCTTCTTGGGCTCCAATTCCCATCAGGCCCAGCCCCTCAGGACATCATTTTTATGGTGCATTCATGATGATGTGTGCTTATGGCGCTATCATGGCCATCTTGCATTTGATTCTGTTTGTTGCAGCAAAAAGATTTAAAGCAGTCACACTGCCTCATTTTCAGTCAGTGCATATCCCACACCTTCCTTCTGAAATCTGGTAACTCTCTGTACCACAAATGTTCGTGTTTATTTTTGCTCCACTTCTGTTGTGCTGTAGCCCCTCCCAACAGTAATTATGTGGCAACATTGGGGTAGCATTGCAGAACAAGCTAAAGCAGAATCAGTCCACCCGTAATGCATTAAAATTGTGTCAATAACACGTTGTAGAATACACCCGCAATAGACACCAGTCTGGAGGGGCCTATATCGCTGGTCAGGGGTGATGAAGTTGTAGTCCAGCAACATGTAGAAGGCCAGGTGTTCCCCATCCCTGGGTGAAGAGATAGACATGGTCTCAAGGTCTCCTAGTATTTTGTGACTGAGTGGGGATTCGAATAAAACACTCCGTTTTGAGTCACATCTACATGCATAGCTACCCCTCTGCCTCTCATTTGTGGACTTCGGTTAGGCCTTGGCAATTCAGGTTTCTGAAAGAGGGGAGAAAGCCATTTTATATTGAAAGTATTTGGTCATCGTTAATTGTTTGCTTGTACTTATCCTCATCTCTCCTTCTGTTTTCGTTGGGAATTTTTCCCTTTTCCAAGTCCTGTATGAGAGTTCCTGGAGAGGGAAGATATCAGATTGTGAAGTAACTCTCATAATCCTTTGCGGAACCAGTTACTCCCCTTGCCCCTCCTCTGTCCCATATTGAGATGAACTAATCTAATAATGTTCCATGTGTGGCAGAGTGTTCCATGGTTTACCTTCAGCTTAAAAAAAAAAAACACCACCACCATAGCAACCTGTCTTTAACCTTCTCCTTTCTTCTCTCCCACTCCACCTCCATCTCGTGTGGGCCCATAATTTTTGCATTTTAATTTTCCCATGAAATAGGTTCCCCATTCATGGCATATTGAGATTTATGCACCTCCTGCGGGGAACAGTTCTACAGAGGTAAATTTGCAATAGAGTTCAGACTGCAGACTCTTGTTTCCTGTCTAAGGCCACTCGTTTGGGTGGTGGTGGGGATGCCTTATCGTGTGCAACCAATGGATTGGGACCATTAGTTTTGGATTTTTAATGTCTGTGACACTTGGCATTCACATTTCTTACAGTATCAGAAGAGCCGAATTCTACGTTGTTTAACTGAACTTTTAATAAAAAGGTCTACTGTTGCCTGATTTTCATTTTCTAGGTTGCATGCGCTGTTCTGTTTGTCCTCTCTGCCTACATTGCTGCATTTCAAATGGTGCGCCTGAAGCGTTTCCTAATGAGCTGATTCACACTGAGTCAAACGCGCAAGAGTGTAGTTGCTGCCTGTTTGGTGCAAAGCAAAGAGGTTTTGTGAAACTCATTAAGTCTCAATCATGCGAATCATTATTGAAAGGAAATGTTGGGCTAGCTCTCAGAGGTCTTTCTGTAACAACAGATCTCATTGTATTAATTTCCACGAAAGGAGAAGAATATCGAGAAGGTGCCCTTAATAGGAATAAATTAGTCGAGGTCCCTCTCCCAAGATCATGGGTAGACATAACCTGCTCCTGTTATAATGCAATAAATCTCACAATCTCAAAACGATGGCAATTTCAGTAACAAAGTGAAATGCTAATATGCTCATTAAAAGGACCCTCCGTGGTTGGAGTTTACAGCTGAAATAGCAAAGATATTAATTGGGATCATCCTGTTCTTGCATTTCACTTGTATGCATCACTTTCAGCATATATGTTTATTTTTATTTTTCAGATAACAACTAGGAGTCTGGTTCAGCTTTTGCTACCTTCGGTTTCACACAGGGTTGATTTTATACCACAGCTGTATTATTTAAGGCAGGGGTGGGGAACTCTTTTTGTCCAAACACCACAGTTCCTTAGGAGCAACCTGGACTACAATGATGGGTAAGGACAGAGGATATTAGTGGATGTGACTAGAAGCAAAAGTGAGTGGAGAAACAGATGCAACTCTTACCTTTCTTCAGCAGTCTACATCTGAGCTAGGCAAATGTCAGAGGTTTTGACACCCCCAACAACTTCTCTCCATCCTCTATCCAGGTAAAGAAGAGTCATTATCAAATTCAACGACACATTCCACATGCACAAGCACTCAAGGAGACCACAAAGTAGGCCTGGCCATGGGGAACAGCCTGAGAAGGGCATGTGGCTTATGGAGATTTCTGTAACCTCGGGTTACAGACGCTTCAGGTTACAGACTCCGCTAACCCAGAAATAGTACCTTGGGTTAAGAACTTTGCTTCAGGATGAGAACAGAAACTGAGCGGCGGCAATGGAAGGCCCCCATTAGCTAAAGTGGTACCTCAGGTTAAGAACAGTTTCAGGTTAAGAATGGACCTCCAGAATGAATTAAGTTCTTAACCAGAGGTACCACTGTATAGAGATGGCTGGAGGGCTACATCCAGCACCTTGGCCTGAGGTTCCTCACCCCTAATTTAATTTTGTACAGTCTAATATTTGGCTAGTGTTGGACTAGACCTGGGGAGACCCAGGTTCACATCTCCACTCAGCCATGGAAGCTCACTGGGTGACTTTCAGTCAGTCATGCTTTCTCAGCATAACAGGGTTGTTGTGAGGATAGAACAGGGAAGCTGTAGAACTCTGTGTAAGGGTATAAATAATGTGAGTTAAATGCAGAAGGGAGATGTAGTTTGCCCATCTTTCCACTCCTTCACAGGTTTTCTCGATGGTATACCTGAGCTGGACCTCAGGGCCAAAGTCTGGGACCTCACAGCCTACACTCTCCCTCGAATGACTACCTGGAGATGGTTAGATGATGGAGGCAGTGTTAGACAGGCCCAGTGTAAATCAAGGGTGACAAACCCATACCCTCCAACATTTCTCCAATGAAAATAGGGATGTCTTATTCTATTATTATTATTATTATTATTATTATTATTATTATTCCCTGCCCATCTGACTGGCATGCCCCAGCCACTCTGGGTGGCTTCCAACATATATAAAAGCATAATAAAACATTAAATATTTAAAAACCTCCCTATACAGCACTGCCTTCAGATGTCTTGTTGTATAGTTACTTATTTCTGTGGCTCGGGGGTAGCATAACTCCATACTCTCCAGCATTTCTCCAATGAAAATAGGGACATCTCAAGAAAAAGTGGGACATGCTGGAATCAAATCAGAAACTAGGATGGCTTCTGTAAATTTGGGGCTGTCCCTGGAAAACAGGGACACTTGAAGGATCTGCAAACCTGTGCAGCCTTCCAGATTTAAATGAACTACATATCACACATTTAAAGCATCTTCCATACAAAGAATCAAAAGAACTGTCATTTCTCCCTCACAGTCAACACCCTCAATAAAATTCATTAGGTAGCAGGACATAAGCCCACAGTCTCAGTCTGTAATCCACTCTCCCAAAAGCCCGATTAAAAAGGTGCTATCTGCAAAATGGAAATAAGGTTGCAGAACAACACTAACACTCCACTTAATGGTATCCCCCCCCCCCTTAAAATACTTTGCAGTATAAATTGCAAAAGTGTGTGTGTGTGTAAAACAGGAAGAAATTTGTACTGGAAAGCTGAAGAGTACAGTAAGTGTGCGCCAATCCTGAGTTCTTTTAAAATACCTGAGGTAAATTCAAAACTAATAATAAGAAATCTAGTGGCCTGTTTTCGTAGGATAAGAATTGGCACTAGGGGGCAGCCTTTAACTGATCTGCTAATTAGTGTGAAGCCTGTATCATCTGATTTCAATTAAAAATTGGCCCAGAAGGCAATTATACTCCCTGCACAGTTTCTAGGGAAAAATTTATGCTTGTAGAAACTGTTGAATCAGCACACTCTCACAGTTGTAAGTACAGGAAGGAAAAGGTCTTGCATAACATTAGAATCTTAGCATGTACACACACAAAGGAGAAAAGAATATATCACTCGCCATAGCATGCTTCTGTGCTGTAAAAACATAACACAGACATTTCCAAGGAGCAGAAAAAGGTTTCAGGTTTCCTTTCAACTGAACTGCAGAGGGAGGGAAAATGGTGAACATGGTTTTGGTGTTGCTAATGAGAGAGTGGGGGACTTCAATAACCTAAAATTGCTATATAAATCATTGATGAAAATTAGTAACTGCTGAGCTGTGCATGTAAAATGTGTCTCATCTCATGATACAAATTTAATGCACTCTTCCCTGCAAGGCTGAGCCTCTTAGCCCAGATCAACTGCTACTTCAATATCTAGTTTGTTTTCTCCCAACACCAACAGTGACTAGTGATGTTATCCCATAGCCAATCAGATCTGACAATTGTCAGACTTGGAGGTGGGGGGCACAGTTAATTCAGCATGAGGCTAAGAGCGCAAGGCTAATCTGCCTGATGTAGATGGCTATCGAGCTGGGGTGGGCAACCAACTTTGATGGCTAGGCGGGACAACCCACCTGTCAATCACAATGGCATCATTGTGAGTTGGGCCACCCACTTCCCAAGCACCCAACAGCCAGGTGGTTGTCAGGCATGGAAACCATTGTGCAAAAGGTGCTTGATCAGTGCTTAGGAAGTGCCAAACACAGGGCTGGCAATGCTGTTTTCTGCAAAAATCAGCTGCATGACTGAGTTCTCCATGGGACACTTGGTCACACAGCCAATCCAGCTGCTGCTGCTGCTATTATTATTATTATTATTATTATTATTATTATTATTATTCCCTGCCCATCTGACTGGGTGGGTCTAGCTGTCTCACACCTGACATAAGATAGGATCAAGTACAGTGGTACCTCGGGTTAAGAACTTAATTTGTTCCAGAGGTCTGTTCTTAACCTGAAACTGTTCTTAGCCTGAAGCACCACTTTAGCTAACGGTGCCTCCTGCTGCTGCCGCGCCACCGGAGCACAATTTCTGTTCTCATCCTGAAGCAA